TTATAGAAATTTCTAACTTTTGGGACAATATAGTCTGATAAAGAGTACATTTATATCCATGTTTAAGCCAGAATGATTTGACATTTAAATATGACTTCCCTATGACTTTAATGTACCGTGAGGTCAAACTGATTTACAGTAATGATTTAAAGTTTTCACTAGAGATGCTGGATAGAAAGCTGTTTCTTCTGCATGGAATTGTTATTTTTTAATTACATTATTTCTATGTTTTTCTGATTTTATTGTAGTATTTAAAAAAAAAAAAAGTTGCAAAATAAATTTTCTATTTTGGTCTCTCTTTAATAAATCATGTTACATATCAGGGGTTATGATGAGTTACTTAGTAAAGTTACCTTTTAAAAAAATACTTTTACATTATGAAGTACTACTACTTTTACTAAAGTACAGTTTTTGGTACTCTGCCACCTCTTGCTACACTTTGGAAAAGACTCTTTAGTTATACATTTATGTTTAGAGGAACCAATAAAACTGTTTTCCTTAAAGGAGAATAAATGTTTCGATCATTTATTGACGTTAGTTTGACTTTAGGAAATAAAAAGCTAAAAGTGTTAGCGTTAGCATGACAGACAGGTTAGCTCTCCAATGAATATTGGCTACATAACTTAATAAAACATCAATAATAAGAATCAAATACCTCCTGTTAGACCAGACTAGAAGCGGAACCTGCGCTGTGCTGCTCACAGAAGACAAACAGGCAGCGAATAAGAAGATAAAAGCCATCATTGCTCCATGGAGAAACTTTATGGACTCTGCCATTTTCTTCTTCTTCTTCCGCACTGCTGAGCGTCACGTGACTCCAACCAGCTGACAGTCATGTGCGCAGCTCCGAGGAAAGAAACGACTTCCTGCTGCTTTCCTCAGGGCTCATTTTCAACACAAACGAACAGCTGTGACTGAATCCTTTTTCTGCTGCTTTAGTTTAACTTAAAGCTCCAGCAAAGTTTCAGGTTTCATGGCGGCGCTGAGCACCGCTGCTGCCTTAATTAAAGCTGAACCAACCTTATGGTATATTAATGAGTAACACAACACCTGCAACAGCTCCTAATGTGGTTTTAATGTTTAACATGCGAGCTTTTTAAAAGAGTTAGGGTACACCTGGCAGCTGTCCATGGTGCTGATGCTCTCTAAAATGATTAGGTTTTACCACCAGGGCACAGGTGTCTCCATATGTTCATCTATCGTGACACAAATATAGAATAAATCTAATTAATAAAAAAAAAACATCTTAAATAGCGTGATGAGTGTTTTATTTTTTATTCTTTTGTAAAAGCAGGCATGTTTTCAGTCTAAAACCAACTCCCATCCACCCAGCTGTGGCGGGCGGAGGGATACTACACCATCTATCCACGCAGGCATCGCTGTAACTACAACTGGGAAGGAAGCTGAACATACGAAACAAAACACTTTGGTTCCGATATAAAACTTTGACCTCCAGGCGGAGCAGTCAAGCTAAACTTTGACCATAAAGGCTTTAACTCATGTCGTGAATGTGCCATTGTGTTGTTGGATGGGAAGAATGAACGTAGATCAGCGAATACATCCGGATAGTACGAGAACGTAGCCGCCATATTGCGAGTGGCAGAAGGCTGCATAAAGCAGTTCCTTTTCATGGGATCTTAGTAAAGCTGTTTGATGGATAGAAGGCTCTGCACTCACAGTCAGCTATATAAATGAGTCGATTCACTTATATTATTTTGTTTATTGTTATTTATACTCATAGACAATTGGTCATTTGATGGATAACATCAGTAATGATAACATCAGTAATGATAACATCAGTAATGATAATAACAAAGGCAAGTATACGCTTTACATGGAAGAAAAAGATACCTATATGGGATTTACATAAGTACGGAGCCCCTCTTATGACATGGTCAAAAAAATTTTTTTTATTGTGGCCACGAAGTAGTTTTTCGTGGCCACGCAATAAGTATAACGTGCGCACGAAATACTACTTCGTGGCCACAATAAAAAAATTTTTTTTATTGTGGCCACGAAGTAGT